ACTCTTGGTCTAACGAGAGGTGGAGCATGCTCCCTCATCAAATAAGGTTCGGCATTCTCTTCCTCCTCCTCATCACTCTCGTTAGGGAAGGGTGTGTCATCTCCAGACTCATCGTCGTTGTTGTCATAATCATTATTCTCTTCCTGACTCTATGCATCTGCCAGATCTCGAGTAAATACATCGTCTTCGGGCAATTGAGTTAGGACAGGACCATAAGGATGTATTGTGGTCCGGGCCCAGCCCGGGACAGCGAGCCCACATGGGCTTTGGGCTAAACGGGCTGGCCCGTATGGTCCGATCCTAAGAGGTCCTAGGAGCCCACTATGGGCCGGTCCAGCATGGAGAGACCGCGAGCCCAAGACCGTTTATCCCGGGTCCAGCTGGCGGGCATTGGCCGGTTCAACCGGGCCCAACGGCTATTTTTCAAAAAAAAATTTAAAATTGGCCAACGGTTGGAAGTTTAAAAACTAGTCGTTGGCCTGCCAATTTAGCCGTTTGGCTTTTTAAAAAATAGCCATTTTCCCCCCAAACTTTTTATAGTTACACCTTTTCCCTATTCTTAACTATAAATACCCCCTCATTCTTTTATTTTTTACTCACAAAATCATCAATCTCTCTCTAATTTTCTCCTATAATTGTTTACTTTATTATTGCAATTTGTGAAAAATTGTGAAGTTGGTGAATTGAAGTATTCAAGTCTTCAATGATATACAATTTTCAAGAAGTTGTTCGTCAATTCAATAAACTCGTTCCAACTCTCAAGTTTTAATATTATAGTTTTGTTTGTTTTAGTTTGTATAATTATAATTAATATGGCCTTTTCTTTGAAAAAAAATATTTGGTGGTAAGGGAAAATCTAAAATTGGTGAATCTAATGGCCAAGCTACTACTCCTCCCCCGGCTCGCCGACCCAGACGTGTTACCCGTCCTCCTCCACCTATTATTCTTGATAGTGATAACCCTTGTTTTCAATTTATCGATAGCCAATTTTACCATGATATTGTACCAGGTCAACAATTAAATGATGAATACATGAATACTCTTTATGGTAATCCAACTATCGATGAAAATAATGAGGAAAATGATGATTTAGATGAAACGCAACCGGATTTAGATGATACTAGTCCCGTTGTTAACCCAACTGAAAATAATCCAAATGATGCCCCGCCTAACCCTCCTGTAGTAACCCCTACTTTTAATAGACAACCTTCTAGACGGTGCGAAACATCTCTTGTTTGGCACTTTTTTATTCAACTAAGAGATCAAAGGCTAAGTGTAAAACTTGTGGGACTTTGATGACTCATAAATTTACTGGAGACCGTAGCGGTACGGGTATTTTGACTAGACACATAAAGACACACCCTAAAGATAAAGCTAGATTTCTTCAAATGAAAGCTGCGCAAGAGGAGACAATTGTAGGTACTCAGGTTAACCCTAGTATCGGGTCAAATCTAGTTCAACCAGGAACTAATACTGTTACCGGTGGCATTTTATATTACGATCCAAATAAAGATCGTGAAGAATTGGCAAAAATAGTTACTGTTATGTGCTTACCCTATAGTTTTCCTTCTAACCCTCACTTTGTGCATTATATTAGACGAGTTTTTAATCCTACTTATAAAGGATGGCCTCGCGCAACCGTAAAGCGCGATATTTATAAATATAAACATGAATATGAATAATATTTGCGCTATTTTTACTCATATAAATTGTCGTTTTTCTATTACTACTGATATTGGTAAAAGTGGTAATGACTGTGATTATCTTACTGTTACCACTCATTGGATTGATGAGGAATGGAAAATGCAAAAGCGTATTATTGCTTATAGAATAATTAATTCACGTCACACAGGCAAGTTTATTGCTAACACAGTTGCAGATATTTGTAGATATTTTTGCATTAGAGATAAAATAATGTCAATTTCAATGGATAATGCTTCTAGTAACACTAATGCTATAGGCTTGCTTACAACTACACTAAATCCTGCATTTAGTAATATTTTCCATGTTAGATGTATTTGTCATATTTACCATTTAATCNNACGCAACGTTTGATGCTCGAGTTGGTGGTGGTGGTAATAATGATGATGAGCACCTTGCAAATCAGGATTGGACTAATGTTAAAATTCTTGTAGACTTTTTAGAACAATTTCATGTTGCTACAAATGAATTATCTGGGCAATATTATCCTACTATTTCTAACTGTTTAGTTTATATTGCAGCACTTGCAGATTTGTTTACTCAATTTTCAGAGGGTGGGGTAATTTATCAACTTGCTATTAATTCTATGAAAGATAAGTTTAAAAAATATTTGTTCTCTATCCCCCCTATTTTTGGTGTTGCTGTCATGTTAAATCCTACCATGAAATTAGGAGGTCCTCACTTTTGGTATACAAATATTTATAAGGCTTTATCACTTTCAGATGAGGAATTTGCTACACTTGCAGATGCAAAAGCCTCAATTATATAAATACTTAAACAATTTATAATGCTTATCAACTTGCCTTAGATCATGCTAGACCAAATGTTCTAACTCCTACTTCGTCTAGTTCGCAATCATCTAAAAGAACTGCGGGCCTAAATGCACTTAATTCTTGGACGGAGTTCAGGGGTTCTCAAGGTGATAATATTGGTAATAATTCACAACTAAATGAGCTTCATGTTTATTTGTCGCATGGACTTGAATCAGAGAATCCCGACGGCTCCTTTGATGTTTTAGAATGGCTGAAGGACAAAGAAAATACTATCTGGTTCTTTCAAGGATGGCTCGAGATATTTTAAGTATTCAAGCTTCAACAGTGGCATCGGAGAGCGCTTTCAGTCAAGCGAGACTTCAAATCGGTGATCATAGAGCGTCTATGAGGGAGAGCTTGGAAAAATCAGTACTCTTCAGAGATTGGATCCGTTCGGAAAGAAGAAATTTTGGACTTGCAGAATCACAACCGGAGATAGACGAAGCTTATGAAGAAATGCTAGCGGAACTTGCGGAGGATGCTGCTTTGCCCGGAAGCGGTGATGAACAAGCTTCTTTTCCGCCACCACCAACGGAAATTCCTCTGAACCTTGAAGGATTTATGAAATTTGTTAGAGATAATATGTAGGCTAATATGTAACTTGTATTTTGGTACATCTTCATTAGTTTTTTTCCTTTTTAATGGTGGTATTAGCACATTGTTGTGCTCATTCCATTGGGGGGAGGAAGACTAAGAAAGATATTGCTATTTTTTGTTAATGTCGTAATAATAAAAAATTATAAGGCATTCCCTTGAATATTTCTTTACAATTTTTTGTGTTTAAATTTGAATTAGAAGATTTAAGTCACAATTATATAATATAATTTACAAGAAATTGCCTTAGATAAAAAAAAATCAAAAAAAATAGCGCAGAACACTTAGGCTCGTTTAAGCCCATGGGCCCGGCCCATTTAGCCCGGGACCATGTGGGCTTAGGCCCACAATGGGCCGGTTCCACCCTCCAGAACCGTCAAGCCCGGGACCGCTTGGGCCCGGCCTATTTAGCCCATTTAGGCTCGGGACCGGACCACAATACAACCTTACACGACCATCAAGTTGCTTGTTTTCACTGCACAACCAAAGAAATAATGAGTTACTGAAATTTGTCCAAACAATACATATAACTTTAAATATTCACTTACAAATCATAATATGTTGATATCCCATGATGCACATTATCATGTTGATGCTGACTACCAGATGGACCACAATGATTCAACACACCAAAACTAGGCATATTCCAACTAGCCGTCGGTTCATAACTTGTAAAATTCATATCTGGTCGGTACCCCCTATGAAATATATGAGTATTAATACAAATGTAATACACAAAAATATACATCGTAACACAAAGGAAAATTACCACTCGACTTGCGGATTATGTATACTAGGGGGAAATTATTTCTCCGCTCCTCATTCGCCCGTGGATATAAGTTTAGATTCGACCAAACTCTTTCAGCCGGAATTTGTTCGGTTAAAACTGCTCCAAAATAACCACCCGATGATTGAGGGATTTTCCTACTTTGTGCAACCTCATTATTGCGAACGTCTTCAGCCTTGACGTACATTTCCAATAGTTTTATCACAATAAATTCCATGTATTCATTCGGAGTCCCCAAAAAATCTCTCAGAGTTTCATCGTCTTCGATGTTAAACTCAGCATAACAAGTAACCCCTTGCGAAGTCACAGAATACGGATATCTTCCGATTATTTTAAGATTCACTGAACGTTTGCTCGCACTCATTTTTTTTACATATCAACGATACCAATTTATCGTACTACATTGTAAGTGACAACTTAACATGAGACTGTGGAAATAAACTATAGTGTACTGAGTTATTCGCCGCTACAACCTCATCCCCCCTCCCCTCCCCCCAAATATAGTGAAACCCTAATTCTTCGTTCTTCAGACATTATGACAAAATGAAGAACAACTTATCAAAGAAAAAATTTCAGAAGACTTGAAATGTTTGTGAATGGATTTTTACAAAATCCTTGCCTCTTTAAATAAGGCAAAAACCAGTCCGGGGGTTCAATTATTTGAGGTATAGCATCTTTTAAAAAAAACGTTATACCCAATTGAATTATTGTTATGCCAGTTAAGCACAGAAGAATTATTTGTGGGCCCACTTAATATGTATGGCGTTTTAGTAAAAAACGCTATATAAATATAGCGTTTTACTAAAGAACGCTATATGTATAGCGTTTACTAAAGAACGCTATATGTATAGCGTTTACTAAAGAACGCTATATGTATAGCGTTTACTAAAGAACGCTATACTTAACTGGCCAACGGCCGTTAAAGTATAGCGTTATGCTATACATATTTTGGTTACTAAGTTTTTTTTTCCACATATTTTCGTTCTTTTAGTCAAAAAGAACCACATTTTGGTTCCGGACTCACTCCTTTCTATCTCTACCACCAAGCAGTTCTGAATTTGAAACGAGTCCAAACCATTCAACCAGAACAAACTGGACAACAATAATTTGAAACCAAACAACAATAATGCAGTCATAAATTTTTTACACTAGATAACTACAGTTAGAAGGGTACTTAAGATTGGAAACCTGATTGAGATTGATAATACTGGCGAGATTTGTTTTAGAACGCTATGGGAAAAATTTCCAGGCCAAATCTCACCAGATTTGATCAGACTGCAGCCTAGACAGCAGTAATAGCCGGTTAAAAGAACCACATGCCATTCACAAGGTTAACTATGATCTGGAGAGACATATACAGGTATGCACGAATTAGGTACTTGATGAGAAAGTTAAACAGGGTATCTAGTGATGGTCACCAAATGTCTTCATCATCATCATTGTAATCTTCACCATCGGACTCACCATCAACTAATGGATCTGCATAATCTGACCAGTCCTCTCGGCCCACGTCCTCATTTTGAAAAGAAATTACACCAACAGTTTCGGATCCATATTGGTCTTGAGAAGTGCTGCTTAAAACTTCTGATTTGTCACCTGATGACTGTGTTTCATCTTCATCCTCATCTTCAGATTCCTCTTCATCTGGATAATCATTCCAGGGATTGTGTTCAGCTGAAAACCAAAAAGTTAGAATATTAAACCATGTTTAACCAAAAGCACCTTAAATAACAAATGATAACTAAGAGGGGATGGGAAAGGCAAGGGAGAAGACCATTGGAATCATCAGAATCGTCGTCTGAATAATCAGGACCATCATAGTAGTCATCATCATCATCAACCTGTACCCTAAAACAACCGCATCAACTATTTTAATAAGAATTAAAAGGAAAAGATACCAGCTGAAGAAAAATTATTTTGCTGTATGAATCCTTACAATGGAAAAGGGCTAGCAATATCTTCGTCGGTGTTGGTATCATCCTTAACAGCATAATAATCATATACATAACCATCTGAAGACCCTGCACAGCAATTAGCAAAACCTTCAATAACCTCACAGCAGACAGCAAACATGGAACATAGACAGTATGCTCTATTCCCTATTTAGCCAAAAAATAAAAATCAATGAGCTACAACTTCAACAGTCTCATTTTGTTTCAGAATATAAACAAGTTCAAGAAATTTCTCAAACTGATGAAACTTCATAGAGCAACCTATAGAGATTCCCTTCCCAGAGGAAGTACACAAGATTGAATTTGAAAAGGAATTCCTGAAAAAGGACCAAAGCAATAAAGAACCTTGTTTGGCCTTGTAATTATGAATCTCTGACTCAATTTCTTCAGCAGCACTAGGCATGACTTCTCGTAAGAGAGGCAAATATTGGGACATCATCCTGTGATCTTCTAAATCGGTAGTCCTGCATTGACACCACAAAACCAGATTTTATCCATTTGTGAAGGAAAAGATAACACCGTGTGGCAGTAACAATTGGAGTTTCAATCCTAGCATAATGACAATTAAACTTACTCCTCTTGCACTTCATGCTTTTTTTCTTCGGTATCAACACGAATAACATCATATAGTCGACACATCTCATTCAGCTCTTCGTCGTGCATCAGTTTTTCCTTTTCTTTTCTGCTTTTCCATATTTGCTCAAACCGGGCATTTTTTGACAAATCCTAAAAGAGGAAAGAGCATGATAAGTTAAATTGCAAAAAACCTTGAAACATCTAATTAGGAGGAAATAAAAGTAACTCTAGTAAAACAAGAATTACTATTAAAGTATTCAAAACCCACTTGAAACCAAAAGATTAATAGCATGAATCAATTTTGATAATACTGTAATACACAAAAGGCAAGAGTGATGCTTCAGGCACAAACTTCACAACCCAATACGAATCATTGAATTCAATTACAAACTTCTAGAATGCAATACCAATAGCAAATTAGATATGGACTTTGCTTAACTAGCAATACACCCTCATAAGCTAGATTTAGCAAACAATCACCTGCAGGTACAAAGTTAAAAAGTTTAAAAGATGCACTTGAAAGTAGGCATTCAAGTTAATAAACTAAAAAAATGTTTAAATCCTTTTCCATAGGTGATTAAACGAAAAAGTATTTCTTCCTCAATTGTTCCACATACACAATATTTTCTGTTCTTCCTTTAGTCAACCCAAATATCAGATATGAAATGAATACTATTAGTTTCACTTGCTTAGTTTGTTCAGGCATATATCCATGCAAACAGTTCTTATAGATGGTTTTGTTTCCTTAACCAGATCGGTTCAAGTACCTCTCAACATATTGGGCAACTTATAATCATCTTTCCTTCCTTTTGTTTTCCAAATTCTGATTCTGAATGTTAGAATCAAATGGAATTTAAGAATGTAAGCTAGTATTATTTCGCTTACTAGTAGACTAAACCACTGCAAGTAATTCTTGTTTATTCCAATGTGATTGTTTCTCCATTGACATAATCACTTCCCCCACTAGAAATAAATACAACAACCACAACAAGCCCAGTGAAATCCTATAAGTGGGTTCCACCAGAAATAAATACATAAGATAAAAAGGGAAAAAGAAAAAAAGCTTTCCACAAATAAAGCATAAAATAGCAAGTTACATCCTGCGTGGTGAAAAATGTTATTAGCTAGTACGAAAGGAAAGATTCCACCCATAAAATGTACCTAGAATAAACAATTACACATAACTGAAAGTTATGTATAACCATCTTCGGTAATAACAGTGAAACAAATATTCCATTATTCTATAAGAAGATATGATGGGATCAAACTCTGATTTTACCTCTTGCTTTTGCTTAGCCTTGGCAAGTAGTTGATCTTGTTTCTGCACATAACACATTAATCACATTAAGCTGAAGCTCAGGCTGACGCGGATTTCTTATACATTTGGTCACGTGTCTGTAAGTCAATCAAGAAAGGGCTTACATTTTCTGCCCTAAAACTTCGCCTTATCTCAGCTTTCTCTTTGACTTCCGAAGAATCTACTGGAGCCGACTGCTAAAAAACAGCTATTAGACCCTTCTAAATGTTGTCTCGAGAATGCAAGTGTTACAAATTCTCATACTTCAAGCATATTACTCAAAAATACGATATGTAAAAGAGAGTTAAAAATGTGGAATATATTACACTAACCGCAAACGACTTCAGGATATCAACGGTAACCTTTGAGCTAGTTACTGTCTCCACATGTCGCACAAGAACCTTTCTGCTCTTCAATTCCTCCACTGAAAATAATTATTTTTTATAAGGTTTTTTTTTTTTTTTTTAAGGTACATAGCAGTACCCAAAAAAGAAAAGACCTGTTCTGTCACAACCATTGAAACAGCATTCTAAACTACAATCGACGTCAAGGATCCACATAGTAACCAATTAACATTATAGATACACAGATAGGTGGATAAAACATATCTCACATAATTTTTGCCTGATAACCAAGAAATCCCCAAAGGCTAGTGACGTTTGAAACTCAGTGATAATGCCCCTGCCCGTTAGTCCTCTACCTTTCTCCACTTAAATACTAAGCTTTTATCTCAGGTATGGTTTGAACCCGCAACATTTTAAAAAGTATAGCTTTTAGATACATAAATCCCTGTTAATATAAAAAGTATAGCTTTTAGATACATAAATTCTATTATTTTCTTAACTAAGAAAATCAATGTCCGAATTATCAATACTAAAATTAGAAGTGTTAACCGTCAAAATATTTAACTCACCTCTACTTGAAGAATCAGAAATTGAAAGCTTCTCAAAGTCAAGCAACGGCCGTTTCAATGGCCTCTCGTTGATTTCGAGCCCTGTCAGTGCAAAAGAGTTAGAATAATTGAAAATTTAAGATCCCAAATAGACTGAAAATAGCAAAAAAAGATGACTGTTACAACCCTAGAAACTCACAGAAAGCGTCGACGCGAGATTGGAAAGCTTTTCTCTTAACTCTAACAATGACAGGCTTGTCTTCCTTCGACGGAACTGAAGAACTCTCGGCGACTGCAGCCATTGTCAGAAAGAAAGTCAGCGGCAATGGTTTTTGTGAGGTGAGGAATTTCTTTATACGAAAAAAGGGTCAAATTTACTATTCGAAGTTAAACAATTTATCCGATAAATTTTTGGTAATATTATACTATTAAAAGTTTTGTTTTTACCCTTAAAATTTTTTGTTGCCAATGTTATACAATTGTTAGGAAAAATTCTTTTTTTCTATCTTCAATCATAAAAGAGCTTTAATTTTATGATAATTTTAAATTATATACTTAATAAACAATTAAGGTTGTAAATATATTCCTTGCACCATAAATTACTATAAATTCAATATTCTTTTTAGAAGGAAGGAGTAGCAGTAGGAAAGCGAGAAAAACATGTAACACGCGGAGCTATTCTCGTCCAAAATGAATTATGTAACCCTCACTCCTTGACAAATTATACTTTGTAAATAGATCAAATTTTTCTCATCGCTTCTGCTTACTTCTTTATATTTTTATATTTTAAATATTATAAGTGAAAATTTTGGGCAATGTGTAGAACACACCTCTCTACTTGAAGAATAGGAGAGTCCGGAACCAAAATGTGGTTTTTTTATACTCAAAATACGCAAATAAGTGTTAAAAAAAAAGTTACCAAACTATATATAACGCCACAAAA